AAGTGTGGTATAGCGCCAAGAGAGCCCATTATCGTCTGGGGCTATGTAGGTCTTTGCAGAGTGACCTCAAGGTACAACCAACTTACCTATCACTTTCATAACAAAATAAAATTTCATCTTGGCAAGGCTAGTTGCTTCCAAAGCACCTTTTGGAAAATGCCCTGTTCATCTATTAAGGGATGAAGTTGGGCAGTCCTGAGAAGTAAGAGGCGCTGGTACGTGCCAGAGGCGCAGAGAAGAATCTTCTATGTCATATTTCAAAAGGAATTCCGAGTGACATCGTGTCCTGAAGTGATATATTAGAATTGAAGGGAATATGACACCTCCATATAAAAATGCAAGACACTGAAGTAATTTATGAAGTGCTAGTAGACAGCCTCCCATTGACTCTGGCTGTGTGGGTACTAAATTACTTCGGGGGCTTTGGCGAGAAGCTTCAGTGTATTGTGTTATGAGATTCCAGGTACAGGGTCCAGTGGGGGAAGTGGCCACAGATTCAGTGCCAGGGAAGGGTCGCCACAGCCTGGGCTCGGCATTTGTGTGAAACAGTTGTCTTGTAGCTGAATCCAGTCCGGAAGAGCAACCACTGAGTCCATGTGGATCCATGGCAGGGGTGGGGGTGGCTTGCTTTATTGCTTGCAATCTTCACACTCATGCAATAAAGAAATAAAACAATAGCAACACCCAGTGAATTTTGAAGGCTTCCCAACTCTCCATAGCCTTGGTGTCTGTGCTGGCGTTGCTCTTGAAAACAAGCAGGAAGAGACGTGTACACACAGTGGACCCAGTTGCTCAGAACTTGGATTCAGACAGGTTTCTGAGTCTTAAACTGAAAACCTGATTTGCTTAACTAGTCCAGACGCACTGCCTCGTGCCTTGGGCTTTGCGGACTGAGGCCGCCACGCCTTGTGTGAGTACCCTCGTTTCCGTCATCCACACGGGATTGTATCGTTGTAATAATCCTCTGGCCTCTCCATCTGAAGTGGCTAAAGGAAAGACTGCCTCTACCTAAAGCCAGTAAGATCGCCAGAGTGAGCCCATCCTCTGTGCTTCCCCGGGACCTGCTGTCTCCTGCCTGCTTCCCTGTTTGTCTGCATCCAAGGAGCCCTGCCCTATGCAGACAGACAAAGCTTTTTGTCAGCTACTGACCCGTTCTTCTTGGAAGACAACTCTCTACCTGCAGCTGCACCTACACCAAGCACCTGTTCCCTCCCCCAGGCACCAGCTCGGCTTGAGTCACTCACAAGTCTAGATTTACCTTGTCTTATGCCACAGGAAACCATCCTAATAAAAGCCACAGTTACCCTTGCTTGGGGATAGATAGACTACACCTACTCAAAAATCCCCACCTAAAAATCCTAACACGGATACGGCAGAATGTGACAGTATTTGAAGGCAGGGACTTTGAAGAGGCATTTGAGTTAAACTGGGGTCACATGGGTCCCTAAACCAACGTAACTGGTGTCATTGTAAGAGAGTAGTGGGACACCGACACCCCAGGGAAGATTGTGAAGAGAGCCGACTTCAAGCTAACATGAGGGGGCCGAGAATAAACCTTGTAAGCATCTTGATCACAGACTCTCAACCTCCACAAGTAAGGTAATAAATACATTTGCTGTTTAAGCTTCCCGACCTACGGTGCTTTGTTACGGTATGGGAGCCGGGATTAACACAACCCTCAAACACTGCTCTGACTCCCCATCATTTTCCAAATCACGGGGGCTCCCCCTTTCAATAGCGGTGCCGTTCTCTAAGATGGTGTTGGCTACTTTTCTCATCACTGTGACAAAATGCTTGAGGAGCAGCAGCCAGAGGTGGGGTGTTCCATCACAGCAGGGCCGCAGGGGCAGAGGCGGCAACGGTGTGGCTGTCCAACTGGCTTTCTCCTGTTTAAGCAGTCTGAGACTCCAGCCCTTGGGAATGATGCCGCTCACATTTAGGAGGCATCCTCTCACTTCAGTTAACCTAACCTAAACAATCCTTCACAGGCCCGGCCCAGAGGCATGCTACCGTGATGGTCTAGATGCTGTTGAGTTGATGACGTTAGCCATCAGGATGAATGAGGATGTGCACAGAGTTCCTGAACTGTCACGTGACTACAACCATCTTCTAAAACACTCCACTGTGCCTTTTCTACCTGTGCAATGAGTTGGAAAGCCTCTTCCTCTTGCTTAGGGTTCTCATCTTATTACCTCTGCCCTTTGGGCCGGGCTCCCTCTCCTTCCTCCATGAACTTGCACTTTAGCTCCTGGCCAGTGCATTTTATCCCCGCCCATATCTTGACCTTCTGTGCTCCCTCCCCCCCCCCCTTCAGCATCCCTGCCTACACTTTGGAGCGAAGGCCAGTGGCACATGAAAAACGTCTTGCCTTAATTCCTCCTCTAAATTACAGTGAAGACATCATTATTTGCCACATGGGACACATCCCATCTGGCCTAATTTTACAGTTATGTATGCTCTGGATATAACCTTAATCCCCTGGAGGCCACAGGTCAATATGTTTGTGCTTTCTTTCCAATGTGTTTTCATTTGGGGTGTCCTGTGCACTTCTCGCCAGAGTGGTTTATATATGGCAAGGAATGAGTTACCATCACCGATAAATTAATAAGAGCCCAGGGCCGGGTTAAAGTCGGTACCCATTTTTCTGTCTTTCGCGGTAACAAAATAGTATGGGGAAGGATCTCATAAACACAGGCCTTGAACTTGATATTCTCCAGTGTTTCCTATTTGTTTACAGGAGCTTGTTGTCCCCCTTTATTTATCTGCCTCCTCTGTCTCACCTGTGGACTCCTCTGCATTCTTTTCTAGCTGTAAAGGAACACGAGCTCGAACACCGTTCACTCTTCCCAAATTCTCACTTAATTACTTCTGTAATGTATTCACTGCAATATTTGAAGTAAACAGTTCCTGCGGGACCCCGTGATTGAGAGTATTCATTTCATCAAGATTGGGAAAATGGATCGCAAACCACTTTTATTATATGTGTTATTAAGGGAAGCGGGCTGTTGCGTTACCGCTTTTTTTTTATTCTGGGAGAATTTCCTTTTGTTTACTGTGTTGTGACTAATCCCCCTGCTGCCTTCCCCGGATGCCCGCAGAAAAGCTAGAGTTTTGGCGAAGCTGCTGGCTAGACAAATAAATCACTGCAACTGGACACGTAGCAGAGGAGGGGCGGGTCTGGGTTGGGGAGAAGAGCAATTAGCTCTAAGCGTGAGGCAATGTGTCAGGTGTTCCTGAATCTGGGCGGCAGATAGGATTGACTTAAGCCAGATATCTGACAATGGCCACGCGGGACCCATCCCTGCTGATAGCCACCAAAGATGATCCCTTCTAAAGTGAGTTCTATTACTCACTCCTGGAGAGTCTTCCAGGGGTAGCTGTGTAGAATTGGTAAGTAGTGTGCGTGTGTGTGTGTGTGTGTGTGTGTGTGTGTGTGTGTGTGTGTAATAAGTATTAATTTTCTCTTTAAACTCCCTGTATTATGAGGAATTTCGGTGTGTGGATAACATTTGACTCTTCAGGAGTATTACCATAGTAAACAGTGTGTGTGTGTGTGTGTGTGTGTGTGTGTGTGTGTGTGTGTAAACTGTTTGGAAAACTGACTTCCCTCAGCTCCCATTGTTCCTCACATGGACTGTAACCACAGTTCCAGAACATCTGGCTTGCCTGCCTGAGAAATCCCTCCCTGCTTCTGGGTTTCAGTACCTGGCTCATACTAGTAAAAATTAGTAGCCATCCCCCCCCCCCCCAACAGTGAAGTGTTTTAAGGCTACGAGGATGTTCTGAATCTGGAGCATGGCAAAGGGGTTAACACCTTTCTCAGATCAGTTATAAGTCTGCACATCAAGAAATGTAAACAACGCAATTCCTGGAAACTTGTCACGCTAATTAACAAGTCAGTGATGGGCTAGTTCACTGGAGAAAGTGCCCGTTGGGTGGAATGTGCTTTTCTGCCTAGACACCTGTACCTTAATGTACACAGGAAAATTGGAAGTCCCTATATAAAACTGTAACGTTTCCACATATTCTAGATCCCACTGTATATTCTATATCAGTTCTGAAATACACATAACATCAGCTATATAATAGAAATGATGTTGACCGACTGGCTGCCGTACTGTACTGTTGGGAAGCCAGTAGTCTGTCCTAACTCAATACAGAGACCCCATTCTAGGCCTAACTATACAGTAAGAGCCCCAATAAGGGTCAGATGAATGAGCAGGAAAGCCAGGACTATCCTAGGTTGGCTAAAGCAAAGGGGAATTGGACAGAGGGAATCTGGTATTTCCACAATCCTCTGAATCCTAGGGTCCTCTATCACAGGAAGGTTTGCTTTCAGTCAGGGTGGCTTCTCAAGGGTCCCTGACTCTCTGCGAGCCTGTAGACTCACTAATGTCATGCAAGGACACAGTCACAATGTCTAGAGGAAGATTCCAGGGGCTCCCATTCTTGCCTTCTAAACATCAAGGGAGGTCACATCACTGACAGAAGTAGGCAGAGCTCTCCTGACTAAGCTGATAGGAGACATGGAGACATAGCCAACAAGCGTGTAGCCTGGGACACACGTAAGACAAATCCCAAGACAGGATGTATGGCCACAGAATATACACCAGCCCATTTCCAGCTTAAGTACCACGGCTTCTTCCCTCAGCTGTCTCCTCTGTCCTGTGCCCCAGCCCCATCACTGCTGAAATCCAGTACACACACACACACACACACACACACACACACACACACACACACACACACAGGGCTGACCTCAGATTGAATTCCCACCCACTTTCATTTTCCTTCCTGTTTCTCTCACTTTTTTCTCATTTCAACTCGCCGTTGCCAAGGCTGACCTTGATCTCCTGACCCTCCTGCCTTCCACGTGCTAGGATTGCAGTACTGCAGGCTTAGTCAACAGTTTCTGTGTGTGTGTCTGAGCCTACCAGCCCTTCCCACTTTCACTTTGTCCGAATAAAATTACCTGCAGAAGCAAACATACCAACAAAGGAAAAGCACGCTGATGCGTCAATGTATTAGATTTTGCAACAGAATTGCTACTAATGGAAGCCCTTGAGAGAGTAGGGGCTACTGCAGAAATACATTTATTCCGTTCCTCACTCACGTCTATTTCAGACAAAAGACACACAAGGACACCTTGCCCTCCCATCTGGTTTCTCTGGAAAGTAAGAGCAAGGTAAGAAAGCCGGAGGACGATGTCATCGGGCAGAGGTGGCTGTGAAAAGATGGACTGAGAACTTTCTAAGTGTCTTCTGCTCAGAGAGGAAGCCACAGTGCAACTTCTCATGAGATTTTATGAGATTTTATGCCGCGTTGGAGAAAAACAAGAGGAAATGAGTCAACTGGCTACTTGCTGCCCTCCAGGCTAGGGGCCACAGGGAGGCTTGATACTTCTGTCTCGGTGACTCATGCATCTCTTGCTGGCTGGGGTGAGGAGCCGGAGGGAGAGACAATGACTCAGCGTTTTCTGGGCTTCAATCCCGGCTTCCTTCCTCACTGGGCCCTGTAAGGCAAGGGTGGACATGGACGAGGCTCAGTCCACACTCTCCTAGGGCTTCCAGCTTCTCTGGGAGTTGGTCTCAATCTCCGGAGCCTTTAGGACTCTGGATGCTCAGCCACAGGGGCGACATTACCATGTGGTGCCACCACTTTCTGTTTCCCTTGATCTTTTTTTTTTCTCTCTTTTGTAGCTTTTATTTTAAACTTTATCCATCGTTCACAGCTTCCTTTCTGTTTGTCTGGTTTGGTTTGGTTTCATTTTCTGTTCTGTTTGGTTTAGACAAGATTTCACAGAGCCCTGGCTGACTACAGACTCACCATTGCCAAGGCTGACCTTCATCTCCTGACCCTCCTACCTCCGGCGTGCTGGGATTGCAGTACTGCAGGCTTAGTTAACAGTTCCTGTGTGCGTGTGGTATGTGTGCAGTTTGTATGTGTGTATGTGTCGTGTGTGTGTGTGTGGTGTGTATTTCATGTGTCATGCATGTATGTCTGAGTATAGTCATGTGAGTGTGTGTGTGATATGTGTGTAGGAGTGTCTGTATATGTGTGGTATGGGTGCGGTTTGTATGTGTGTATGTGTCGTGTGTGTGGTGTGTATTTCATGTGTCGTGTATGTATGTCTGAGTATACTCATGTGTGTGTGTGTGTGTGTAGGAGCCAGAAATCAATCTTCAGTGCCATCCCTCAGTCTTCCTATTGACCCGAAGCTCACAGATTCCCCTAAACTGTCCGCCTGTGAACACCTGAAATACATGTTTCCTCTTTCTAACTTTGGGATTATATAAGAGTGCGCCACCACGACTGGCTTTCTAAACAGTTCTGGGGACTGGGCTCAGGTCCTTACGCCAGCACTATAAGCTTGTTACCGGCTGAACCATCACCCCTCCTTAGGTTCCGTCTTTCCAGCACCTTCTCCCTGTCCAGATGGAGGGAAGGGTGCCTGCTGATCAGCTGGGCGCTGGCTCATGCCAACAACTCAGTGGAGTCTGGGAATTGTGGGAGGCTGTCTGTGCTAGATGAACAAACAGATAAGCGTCCCAGCGTTTCCTGAGCTGTTTGCCCCTGTTGCCGGTCTGTGTGTGCTCAGCAGGAGGGGACAGAGGTGCTGTCTGCTTGGGAAGTCAGCAGTGGGCCTCAAGCCTGCAGCCTGGTCACCTAGACGTCCAGCTAACATTCTGGGATGGCTGTTGATACGCTCTACCCAGCAGCTCAGCTTGCCTCAGACAGGACAGCAAATTGTAATTGTCTCTGCCCTCCAGGGTGAGCGTGCTATAGGCTGCCATGCCCTTATGTCTGAAGAAGCCACTCAGAACCACCAGGAGGGACAGCGACTCTGCAGGTGAATACAGCATTTCTGTTGTTTCTGCCAGAGTCCGCAACTCAGGCCAATCTCAAAACCCTGCCTAGGAAACAAAGTACCCAGGGGGAGAAGTCTGGCTTCCTATTACTCAGTTGAAGTCACACAGTAGGAAGCAAACGAACCTGATTAAAGAAAATAGAGTACATTTCTGCCTTGGCAGAGGGAAAAAAATATATATATGAATAAATTTTTAAAAGCACTTGAAAGTGCCCCTTGTTTTTGGTGGCTTTAGGAGCCGGACTCCTGAAGTTAGAGCGCCACCTGCTGTCTAGTTATAAAATGGACTGTCTCAAGCGTTTGGACAGATGGCCCCACAAGAGTCACAGTTTTAAACGCAAAGGTCTATGATGCCAAGATAGAAGGGCACACATATGTGACCGCCTGAATCATTTGACTGATTCTAGAGCAGGGGAATTTCCCATGAGTGTGGAATGACTCCAGGAGATGCAAGGCCTTGTGCAAACAGAGGCTGCTCGGAGAGACAGAGCTGGCGGGGTTACCACACTTTCAAGTAGGACTCTTGGCGACTGGAACTGGAACTGAGCAGTTAATGTGTGCAAAGAAGTGATTGTGGCTGCATGTTGGATACAATAAGCTTCCAGAAACTTTTTCCATGGAATCACTGAATCATAGGAGCGTTGAACCTTTGAATGCTATTCTCCATGGGCGAGTCATAGAGAGCTTTGTGCGTGGCTGGAGTTTCTCTCATGCGTGTCATTTTAGGGCACTAGAGAGAACTGGGGATGTGAGTAGCATCACTTGTACACCCTCTTCCTGGGCAGAGGCGAACACCTTTCTCTCCCATCCCTACTAGAAACAAAGCTTTTCTAGGCAAACCTTCAGCACAAGATTAACATACAAACATCTAGACAAGGAAAGGAGGGCTGAGAGGATGGCTCTGTCAGGGAAGGACTGAGTGTGAGTCCCATGTGAAAAGCCAATTGTGGTCCGTAGTGCAGGCTTGTAATCCCAGAGCTGGCGGGGGGAGGGGAGGGAGAGGGGCAGAGCTAGGTAGATCCCTGGGCACCTTGGCCAGCCAGTCTTGCCTAATTGGCAAGTATTAGTCCGGTGACAGACCTGCCCCCCCCCCCAAAAAAAGTAGAGGCTGTCAGGTGATGTGGAATTTCCCTCTGTATGCTGTGATTATCATTAATGAATAAAGAAACTGCTTTGGACCTATAGCAGGGCAAAACTTCGTTAGGCGGGGAAAACTAAACAGAATGCTGGAAGGGAGGAGGTGGAGTCAGAGAGAAGCCATGTAGCCATGTGGGAGTAAGATGGAACTTTACCTGGTAAGCCTCAGCCACGTGGCGATACATAGATGAATAGAGATGGGTTAAATTAATATGTAAGAGTTAGCCAATAAGAAGCTAGAGCTAATGGGTCAAGAAGTGTTTTAAATAATATATATTCTGTGTGATTATTTTGGGGCTAAGCGGCCAGGAACTAACTAACGGCCTCCTTACTACAGTCAGGTGGTGGTGGTGCACAGCTTTAATCCCAGTACTTGGGAGGCAGAGGCAGGTGGATCTCTGTGAGTCTGAGGCCAGCCTGGTCTACAGAGTGAGTTTCAGGACAGCTAGCAGTTACACAGAGTAACTGTGTCTCAAAAACAACAACAACAACAACAAATGAAAACCAAAAAGTAGAGGCTGGAACGATGACTCAGCAATTAAGAACATTAGTTGCTATTCCAGAGGACCCAGGTTTGGTTCCTAGAACTTGCCTGATAGCACACAAATATATGTAAGTCTAGTTCCAGGGCACCCACTGCCCCCTTCTGGGCATTCCACAAGCACCAGGCACAAATGTGATGCAAAGACAGTACATGCAGGCAAAACACCTATATACAAGGAATAATAACAGCATCAACGATAACAACACACCAACATCCATGTGCACTGCACACATGTACCGACACTTGTTAAAGAAGAAAACACATGTGTTACTTCAAAGAGCAAAGGGTTGCCAATTACATTCCCCCTCAAGACCAGTTTGGGGGTGTATGTGTATGAAGGCTATGACCAACATGGGAGAGCTAGAGATGAAAATCCAAAGAGAAACTGTGGATGAGAACCAATTTAGAAGTCATAGGAGCCAGAGGAGAATGCCTGCCTAAGGATGTGTGATCCTCAGGGCTATCCTCATATGGCTGCTTTGGTGGGCTCACCTCTTCCTTCCCCCTGTCAGTTCAGTGCCTCTGCCCCTCTGCCCCTCAGCCCCTCAGCCCTCTTAATACCCCAGGTTCCAGCTCCTCAACCCTGCTGCCCCTCTGCCCCTCAGGCCTCTAAGACCCCAAGTTCCAGCCCCTCAACTCCGCTGCCCCTCAGGCCCTCAACCCCTCAACCCTCTAACACCCCAGGTCCCATACTCTCAGCCCCACAGTCCCTTAGCCCAGAAAAGTGTAAGGAAGAACATACTACAGCCAAGGTGCTTCTTGCAAAGCCATACCCTAAATAATTTAGATATGGCGGCATGATACATGGTCTCCAACATAAATCAACGCTTTTGCTTTTTCCAAGTTTTTACTATCTCCATTCAGTTCCTGCGGCATTTAGGTCACCCCATTTGCAGCAGACCTATGACTCATTACTTGTCCTGCTCCCAGTAAAGCCCCCCCATAGTGACCCCGTGTGTGCATGTCACTTCTCTACCTACCGCAAACTCCTTCCACCCTAACTACGGGCACAAGTGGAATCAAACGGTGTTTGCAGGGAGATGCCTGGACCCTAAGAGCTTCTGAGTCTCCTGTGATTGAATTATGCTCAGTGAAATTTTGATGTCAAGGCTATTTCCTTGCTAGGTAATTTCCTGAGCAGAACATCTGCCATGGCTAAACATGACATGGGTTGACTTACAGTCAAGCAGGGTCTAAGTGGGCCTGCATATCATTTACCCTAAGGATAAATGAAGTCCAATTTGTTTCCGTGCATTTTGTTTGGTGATGACTGAAGCCTTCTGGGCAACAGAAACAGACCTGAGGGCCTCACTCTCCAATATTGTTAAAGGCCGTCAAGGTGCGCAGTGACGCTAGCTGTCTCCATGTTATGAATTGCGTGGACTGAGCAACGTTGTACCCCCACTATCCTCAGGATCAGCTTCACAGGACAGCAAGAACAGGTAAGCTGCAGTCCTGGCCTTCTTGGAATGCTTTGCTGAACAATTATTAGCTTCTTGGTTTATAAATAAATCTCCTTTCTAAACTAAAAGGAAAAGTTGCCTCCTCTACAGCCCTCTCTCTAGAGTCTGTCCACACTGTGAATCCAGATTCGCCTTTCTCCATCAATAAACTCTGCCTGAAATAAGGCATAGTGTTTATAAAGCAATGGGCTGGACGACACAGACACCTGTAAACACACCACTGCAAGAGACATTTCCTTCCCTGTTGGTTTTCTGTCTCTCCCGGAGAGTGGGAGGTGTGAACAGGGCAGCTTGCCTGCATTCCTCCCCAAGACCTCAGGGAAGAGAATCATGATATAAACAGGCCATGAGAATGTTGATTCACGAGTGACATTGAATTTTAAATACTTTTTAAATTTTTCACATTCTAAGAAAACTTGGATGTTCTCGATTCACGAGAAAATGATTATAGAAATTTAGAGAGCATCTTACTTACTATGCATGATACATTTGTAAAAATGAAGCATTTGTAAGCCATGTCCATCGTCCTAATTCATTCGTTTTCTACTAAATTAGGTGTCTCACATTATTAAACACACCCCTTAGGCAAGCACCTTCTACTTTGTAGTCATCCCAGGTTTCCACAATGAGACGTATAAACTTCGAAAGTCATTAATTCCAACAGACCGGGGCCTGGGCGTTTAGGTTAAGTGATTACCATGTCACCCTTATTGAGAACTGAGTGATGAGAGCCAACATTTTTAATGTGTTGATTTTTACCTCTCTAAAATGTGAAGATAGATATTGTTTGATTTTGAAGATCAAGAGCCATACCTCAGACCAGGTGACTAGTAGACCTTGACGCTCAATAAATGACCCAAGTGAATCAAACTCTCCTGACTTCCAAATCCAGACTTTGCTGCGCCACACACACGCAGACACTCTATTACACACAGATAATCTTATTTAAATAAACCAATACGATTCTTATCTATGAAGGCATCGTTTCTGCCATTGGTTGGTTTTCTAAAGAGTCACTCATGACTGAATTTCTAAGTAGGCAGAGCAGGCTGCAGAGGGTAGGGGCTACCGGGTGCTATGGCTTCAGGGATATGATGAGATTGTGGGTGCTGACTTTGGGGGTGGCATGAGTTTGGGGTTTTAATAGGATGTAATGAGTTCAGGGATGCTGACTTAAGGGTATGTAAGTTTAGGGTGTTCTGCCTTTAGGGGTACAATGAACTTATGGGGAGAAAGAGTTCAGTGAGCTCTGGCTGTTGTGAGTTCAAGACAGGGCCACCTTACAATTTTTATGAGGCATTTCTGCACTAGGTCTCTGTATATAAAATGTTAACGAAGACCCAACACAACTGTGTTGTATAGGGATCGTGAAATGCAGGCTGGGTTCGTGACTGTCTTCATATTCTTTTTACTATTTATTATTGGAGTTTTTTGGTGTTTGGTGGTTTTGTTTGTTTTTGAGACAGCTTCTTACTACAAAGCCCGAACTAGCATTGAGTTTATAATCCTTCTGCCTTGTTGCCCCTAGGGCTAGGATTATAGTTGTACAACACCATGCCCAATAGTTTTTTTTTTTTTTTAAATTACAAGTTAATTTACATTTGCCTTTCGAAGCTACGGCACTGTGTCTGCTGTGCCTAACATAGAAATCAGCACTGGCTAGGGCCACATGAGTGTGGCTTTCCTCGCTCCTGAACGCCTGTCGTCAGAATTCAGTCATCCACATCCTTCACCGCTAGGGAAGACGTCTTTGGGAGAATTCACCTTGCATTAGCACCCTCTTGTACAATTTATACAGACAAACTAGCAAAGACCCACGTCTGTGGCCTCTGACAATGATGGGAAGGCAGGGTAGAGGCTGTCATGGGGACAAGGGGACACTTCTGGCGCACAGCTGTTTGGGAAGATGCCACAGTCTTTATCCATAGACCCCTAGATTTCTGTGTACTCGCCTGGTCTTGCATTCCTCTTCAGAGGGTGTTGTTCGCTTTGTATTTTCTGCATACAACAACAGCAGATTTTCTTATAGAAATCAGTGTATCTTATATTAGAGGGAAACTCCGGTATTTTTTTCTAGCATGTGTGTACACACATGTCTACATGTGTACATCTAGACTTACAGTGGATGTACAGACCGCGTGTCTTCCTTTACCCTGATAAACTAACTCCTTTGGCTCTTTACTACAGTGATGTGTTGAGGTTTCGCTAACGTGTTTGATTTTTCATTTGGAGGTTTAATGCAGAGATCTAGAAGTCAGCACCACACACGTTGCCTCAGTTCAAGTGTGTCTCTGTAACGACAGGAAAGTTCCAATGTAGTGTCCCCTGTGCACTCTACTGAAGAGGCTGCATCACTGCCTTCTTTGAAAGTGTTTCCTAGACCCCAAGTTTTATTAATAAAACCTGGAGAGTTAGAGAAATTTGCTTAGTAAATGCTATTTTCCTACTCAGTATAATTTCATTTTAAATTTCAATTTTTAGTATTTTTTCAGATGATGTTTATACGAAAAATATTTTCCTAAAATTCCTTAAATAATTTGTTTTTATTATTAATTGTGTGTGAAAGAGAGAGAGGGGAGGGAGGGCGAGAGAGGGGGGAGGGAGAGAGAGAGGAGGAATGAGTTACATTCTTCAGTTAGGTCTTGGGGACTGAATTCAAGCTGTCTGGCTTGGTGGCAAGTGGCTTACACATTGAGCCATCCTACCAGCCCAACAAACACATTTTATGCAAATATTTAGATTTCAATTGCTCACTGTTAGTCATTTGCATGTTCTGCCTTTTATGCACAAAGTTTACTATCAGGTACAAAGTACTTCCATATTTTAGTACAACGTAGAATGTTTAAATCAAACTAATCTTCATATCGACCACCACTAATATTGAATATTTTTATGACCACGGCATTTCAAAACTGACTCTCCTCACAAGATTTCCATGTACAGTACTCAATTATTACACCGACCACGCTGTATTCTCTGATCTCAAAGAAGGAAAAACATCACACTGACTACTTCTCCCAAAACAAATCCCGTTAAGAAGCAAGCGAGGGACGCAAGAGACAGTTGTCTGAAGAAGACGCACAAGTGGCCTTCAGACACTGCGAAATTCCCAGCATTGCTCATCATCAGCGAGATGCGAATGAGAACACTAATAATGAGCTATCACTCCACACCTGCGAGGATGGCTGGTACCAAAAAGACGCGAGATAACAAGCAAGAGCGCAAGAGCGCAAGAGCGGGAACAGGAGGAAAGGGAAACCTCGCAGGCTGCTGGGGGGGGGGGGTGTTAATTAGCTCAGCCACAGGGGTCCTCACAAAACTACAAACAGAATGACTTCTGGGTATTCACCCCAAAGATTGGAAATCGGCTTACCAAAGAGTCGTCTACACACCCGTGGTTACTGCCGCTCTATTCGCGGCCGCCCCTGAGTGTGTCCCTCGGGTGGAAGCTTTCAGGGAATGTGGCGTGCAAACACAATATAATGTTCAGTTTTACAAAGAGTCTGCAACAATAATAAAGAAACTGGGTGGAATTATTCTGAATGAGCCAAACGCGGAACACTAACTACCACCTGTCTTCATCGACATGGCGTCTGGAGCACCTGAAGCAGAGACCGCGAGGTGGATGTTGGGGCGCAGCGCGCCACCGCGCTGGTCCTCTCGTGACCAAACTACCCATTTAGTAAGGGTGATACCTATAGTTCTCCCCTCCTCCTCCTGGTGGAAACTGGCTCCTCACACATGCTGGAAAATGCTCTACCACCGTGTGAGGTACTGTGTGTCATCCTCTACCCTTGATTCTTTAGAGAGGTGCTAAGACCGTCCAGAATGACCTTGAACCCATAACTCTCCTTTGTCCATCTCTCCGGTGCCGAGATTATAGGTGCACACTTAGCACCCATCACACCAGCCAATTTTCAGTGGAACAGAGCATCAAGGCCTGCTTCCAGAGCCATAAACATTTGAGAATAGTTTCTTGTTGTCTTTGTGGAAAAAGATAATACGGCAGAGTATATATTTTGGGGCCCCTTCAAAATGGGGAAAGTTACTTCATCTGGCTCTGGCTACTGTGATATTCTAATTTCCGGAATGCTGTGAGGAACCTATATTTTCTGCCCAAAGCCTTGTTGGATTTCATTTTCCTAGTCCTAGCAGTTCATAAATATTATAATGGTATATTACGATCATAACGTCTCCTCTTAGGGGCCGCCTTCTGATTGGACACTCGATGCTCTCCTTCAGCCTAGAGAAGCCATGCTCCACCACGCCCCACCAGGTCTTTGACTGTTATTACAGACAAAATGCCAACCTCCCTGGCTTAGTTTCCTTCCTGTGGAACTGCATTAATTCCCCCTCTCATCTCTCTCCCTCTTTCTTCCTCTCTATCTCTCTTTCTCTGTCTCCTTCGACCACGTGTATTGAGTGTTCCTTAGGAGCCATGGGCTGTATTAAATTCTCACACAAGACAGTTTTCTTTCCCTCACCTTGGCAATCCGAGGCAGAAGCATTGTCTGTGTTCTTCGGATGGAAAATTCTGCCGAGCTCACACATGCTGTGGGTGTTGATCGTCCCCTAAAACTCAGACCCTGTTGTACCGCGGAATCCTCCATTTCTGCCTACCGCACCTCTGTCCACCTTTTGCATGGGATTGCATTTCTTCTCTCTCTATGCAACAACTCGTGTTCGTCACACTAGCTGAACGTCAGGTTTTCCCAAGTGTACTTTCTGCTCTCTGCAGCATCCAGGTGGATTAATTCAGCAACAGATTGTTCGTCTCCCCTAGTGCTCCTTCTCCCCTGTGCCCCGTTCCCTTCGCGCCCTGCGCTGGCTCTCTCCCAGTCCCTTCTCCCTTCGACATTTTACTCCTGTTTCAACAGACAATGGGATGTTTCCACTCTATTAATAATAAATGTTTTTCTAAAAATGTTTTAGAGATTTTTTTTTAAAAGAAAAACACCGGTTTCATTGAAATGTCAAGG